GTTCTTTGCATAAGTGTAGAAACATTTTTCTCCTGAGTCTTCAATTGAGAGCAATTCAAATTCCTGTAGCTGTAGGGGTGGGAGCAGGTGGGTGGGGCTGACGCTGTGGAGCAGCGCCTGGGAGGAAGGCCCGGGCTGGGCATCTGGAGCTGATTTCTGAGAATCCTCACCCACAGGAAATAGGTCCTCAATGTGCGCTTCTCAAGGTGGCACCAGGGATGTCCATGGAGGGAGCCACAGGAGCTCAGGAAATGGCCAGGAGGCTTCTTGGAGAAACAGGGACCTGAGCAAGGCCAGAGGGCTGGGGAGAAGCTGAGAGAGGGACTGAGGGGAACTGAAAGGCAGGAGAAGGTATCACAGAGGCTGGAGGACCTAGAACATCTGCAGGAAGTGAGCTGACTCTCTCCAGCTAGAAAGTAAGATTGGAGAGACACTGTGGAGGCTCCTGAAACATCCATCTCCTGCAAGCCTCCAGACCCAGGGCTCAGCCCACGCTGAGGTGGGGAAGAGAGATAGGGGTTTCCATGACCCACAGGTCCCCTCTACTCCACGATACAGAAAGGGGCTGTTGGTGCCCATCCCTTAGAAGGAGGAGGCTGCCCACCTGTGCCCTTGAACTCCAGCAAGAGTTTTCTCAGTGCCACCTCCAGGCTGGCCTCCAGATGCCAGACAGCATCTAGCCTCCCATCAGGCCCTAGGTCTACAGGGCAGGAAAGAAGCAGCAGGTGCTGAGTCCCTGGACTCTTGCCTACCCAGCCCACCCCTATCCAGCTTCTAGGAGGCTCTGAGCCTGGCTCAAGTTTTGTAGCTCTGCAGAGCTTGGGATATTCCTTCTCAAGCTACAAAGTCTCCTTGTTGAGAAGAGTCCTGACTCTGGAGTCACGTTGTCCCAGGGTTCAGATCCCAACATTGCCACTAACCAACCAGATGTTTGTCATGGTGCTTTCACTGTCTGAAGGTTCGATTTGCTCACTTGTAGCACAAGAATGGGGTCTGGGGTTGGTGAGTGACCAGAGGAGAGGAGACAGCGTAGTGCTGGGCACAAAGCCTGAATAGGAGCCCCTTGAAGTAGGTGTTCAGAGGAGAAGGTCTTCTCTGGGCTCCATGACAGGACAGCTGGACGTTGTAAGGAGAGTCACACCCAGGGAGGTAAGGACCTGCCCACGGTGACATGATGGGAACCTGGAGTCCAGCCTGGTTTCTCCGGCATCCCCATCTGCCCCCACCCCCAGCTGGAACCTACACAGCCTGGCCCTGGGGCTTCCATGAGCCCAGCCCCCCCCCCCAACCAGGGTGGTTCCTTGAAAACTGAGGGCCTGCCCCACCTTTCCCAGAAACCTGGCTTTGAGTCAGGGGTGGAGACTGGCCTGAGAGAGAAAGCAAGCTCTGCCACCTCAACTAGGCGATGGCAAGGCATGGCCACATGCCCAGAGGGGTACCGTACATATCACCCCAATGGTCTCGCCAGGGACAAAGCTCTGCCCTGGAACTCAGAGGGCAAGAGAGGCCCTAGGAGGCTCAGCAGCCTTCCTCCTCCAGAGGGGTTGAGGCAGCCCAGACTGAGCAATGGGGAGCTGGCTTCCAGGACCATGGGTCCTTGGGAGAGGCTGGTCACACGTGATAAGCCGAAAGCAAGCTCTGTGGCTAACACTGACTATGCACATCGCCTGCAGTAGGCGCCACCCTAACTGCTACTCATCCTGTAACCATCCTCACCTTGTAGACAGGAGAACTCAGAAATAGAGCAGCGAGGAAGGTGGCCGAAACCCCAGAGCTGGGATATGACAAAGCTAGAATCTAAGGGAGAAAGTGAGGTTCCAGATCCTGAGCATTGAAGCTCCAGGTGCAACAGCAAATGAGGTCCCGGAGAACCTCATATCCTCTAGGCTTTCTTTCCTTCCTCTAGGGCACAAGCAGGGGTGAGCTGTGCCCAGCACACCAGCGTGTCTGGAGAGTGAACGCTGATGATTGGACAGAGGCACTGTCTCCAGCTGTTTGACTTGAGGCTGAGTGGAGCAAATGGGTGTGCAACAGGACACAGAGAGACCCCTGGGGATAGGGGTCATGGACCCAATGTAGGGCAAGATGGGAACTGAGAGGAATAAAAATGGTGGCTCTGAGGAGTAGGCAGGGGATGGTGGGCACGGCAGAGCTGAGGGTGTCTGGGTTGGCAGAGGGCATCCACTGCTGCCCCATCCATCTCTTTGGGTGATCTCGCTGGCTCTTGGCCATCCCTGAACCTTTCATGTTGGCTTCAGCTCCATGATAACCACAGAGTGGTGGACAGAGGGGATGAACCAAGGACAAAGCATCTGAGTGAGTTCCCATGCACACAACTGTCACCCTCTGTTCCCTAGGAACAGCAGGAGAGCGTGCACCACCTCCTGGCCCAGGAGCCCGGGAGGGCTCCTTGCCCTGGGTTGATGCCTTCTGTGTGCCCTGCACTCTCTCATTCTGTCCTTGGTGAGTGGGACAGGACAGGGCCACCTCCACAGAGTCTACTAATGTACAACCATTCTCAGCAACCAGAAGGTCTCCCAGCAAAACACAGCACACGGGCTGAGCTGTAACCGGACAGGGCCTTCTCCACAGACAGAGTCTCAGCATCCAGACCCTTTCTCAGAGGGTGAACCTTGCTTTCTGTTAAGTGAAGTAAGTTTGGCACTGAGGGACAAGGGATTTCACATGGATGCAGAATCCCAAAGCTGGAAACTCAGAGAAGCGGAGAGTAGAACCGTGGCTGCCAGGGACTGGAGGGGGCGAGATAAAGGGAAGACTTGGCCAGTTGGGTACAAAGTTGCAGTTAGAAAAGGTGGGAAGTTCTTATAACTCAATAATGCATATTAAAACAAAATACAGAGGACCGCCTTTTTTGGAGAAAAGATTCCCAGCGGATACCTATATACACTGTGCACACAGAAGTTTGATTTACAGATAGGCACAATAAGAGATTAGGAAAACAATTAAAAATAAAATAGAACAATTACAACAAAATTATGCAATTGGCCAGGCACCAATGGCTTATGCCTATAATCCTAGCTACTCAGGAGGCTGAGATCTGAGGATTGTGGTTCAAAGCCAGTCCATGAGTCTCCTGTCTTCAACTAACAACTAAAAAGCTGTAGCTCAAGTGGTAGAGCACCAGTCTTAAGCACAAAAGCTGAGAGACAGCACCAAGGCCTTTAGTTCAAGCCTCAGGACTGGCACACACACACACACACACACACACACACACACACACAATCTTGCAATGAAAGTTGTCTGAACATTCTCCCTCTTGCTCTTGCTCGCTCTTCCCCCCCCTCTAAGAACCAACTGAGAAGAGAGGAACTGTAAACAGGACCAAGTCCATGCCATTACCACTTTGTTCCCCCCAGGAGACCCTGAGGCATGGGAGACAGTAACCCATGGAGACTTGATGGTGGCAGGAAGATTCTAGTGTTCCAGTTCTGACTGGTACCTGTCTTGGGCTGCCATCCCCAGCCCCAAGGTGGCTGGGAAGGGACGGGGAGGAGGCTGGGTCCCACCTGCAGACACACGGTGGAGCTGGGCTCCTACCCAACGGCTGCTGGTGGGTCCCCAGAACCACGGTGAGCTTTCTCCCTAGTCCTCATCCATTCTCAGGACGCTTACCCTGACGCTTTCTTGTCCCCTACAAGGAGATGCTTAGACTCTGCTCACAGCTCTCCCAATGTGCTGGATTAACTTCTGCTTCTAGGACTGGCTGTGTGCTGCCTGCCCCCGCTTCTTCTCTGTGGCTTTCTCCTCTTCCTCCCCTCTGGAACTGGGGTACACACAAAGACCCTGGCCTGCCAGGCCAGGTGGGGCCCCTATGTGAGCTCCTTGCCTCTGAGGTCCCCTTGCTGTCCCACTGAGCTGTAACCTCCTGCGTGCTGTCTCTCTTCCTCTGAGTTCTATGGCTCCACTGGCATCATGCCTACTTAAGCCACAACGACTGCTCCCAGCAGTGGTTGGTACAGTCAACTCTCAGGAGATAACTGCTGAGCAGTGGATGGATGGATAGAGTAGAAATGAAATCACAGGCTAAGCCCCTCCCAGTTTCCTCAGGATCCCATCCTTTTAATTTTTTCTGCCTATATTGCTAGCATGTGTCACAGAATTGGCACTGGACATGGGGCAAATTTAACAGTATGGCGTTTGATGGTATAACTCAGCTGGCAGATACATGGGGCCCAGGGGGCTCAGCTCAAGAAGAGATGGCTTCATTCTGCCCAAGAGATGATGGCGAGGCTTCTCAGAGGCCTCCTCAATTGTTGGACCTTGTGGATGGGTGGCAAATGGAGAGTGGGGCAAAGGCATCCGAGCAAGAGGACACAGCCTTAGCATGGCCTGGCAGGGCCAGAGAGCAAGTCTCCTTCAGAGAGCTATCCTAGCAAGCTGCCAAATGGTTAATCTCCTACCCCATGTCTTCTTCTCACAGGGATCTATACCACCATGACGTCCTTGTCAGCTCAGAGACCCAGGGGTCCCCAGGTTGGGACTTTCAGCTCTCCAGGACAGGCAGACCCTGAGAAGGGAAAAACAGGGGCACCCAGACCAGCCCAGGTCTCTCCAACATTCTGAACAGCTGCCCAATGAAACCTCCCCCAGCTCCCCGCCCCTCAGACAGCCAGCTCTCTGTGCCTGGGCAGTGTGAGGAAACAGGAACTACCCAAAGAGGCCTCCATTGTGACTCAGGCTGGGAATACTCCCTCCGCATGCACACCGCTGTGCTTCTCTCCGTTGTGCTGTTCCTGGTGACTCAGTGGCTAAAATCACAAGCCCAGTCCACTGTCCGTGCACCCCTCCTAGGCTCTGAGAACGTAGGCACAATGACCTGCGCATTAGCCTCTCCCCAGCTGGAGAGGGGAAGGAGGGGAACAGATGGATGGATGGTGGAAGCTCTCCAATCATGGCAGACCTTGCCAAGGTCACGATGACACCAGACTCCCTGTCACACCAGAGCCTCAGGGGCAATGACAGACCTGCCATTCCATGCATACAATAGGCATTCGACTTTTATTCCTGGCATAGTGCGAGTGAGGGACATACAGGTGGACTGGCTTCCAGCTGGGCTAGTTCTTCATTTCTGCGCAAGAATCTGTCTAGGGGAATCCCAGAGTTTGGTAGGGCAGGGCAGGAATGCGGGCAAGGAGCAGAGCTTTCCTGAAGTGGGGGGAGGGCGCTCAGCAGCATCTACTTCCAGCGTCCAGTGACTTTGGCCTTCCCACGGGTCTTGGAGCTGCAGGAAAAAAGAGAACTCAGTCAGATGGGGACACAGGGCAGGGCAGAAGGTTAGTAGGGATGGGGGGACAGGATGAAGGATGGGGAGGATGGAGAGGAGCAACCTTGAGCTGCCTCCCAGAAGCAGAACAGTTCAACAGCCCCGGGCTGCCATGAGATCTTTCGGGTCCTCCATTCCATCCCCTACTGGCCAGCCACAGGGAAGGGTGAGAAGAGGGAGGTGCAGGAGAAGCTTGTAAACTGAAGGGGTGGGGTTGGGGTGAGGATGGAGTCCTCTGAGGGGAGCAGAATGAAGAAGAAAGAAAGAGCTCAGACACTCACACTTTCTGGTTGTCATTGATCCTGTTTCGGAGAACATTGATCTGCAAGAAAGAAGGGAAGATGAGGAGTAACGTTGGAGTGTATTCAACTCAGACTCTAGGAGGCCTGGAGTGGGGGAGAAAGGGACTGCGCACAGCATCTGGGAAGATGGTGGAGAGGACACTGTTGGAAGTAGGCATGCACCTGGCATATGAACTGAATGGCTGGATGACAGGGAAAGGGGCCTGGGACCCATTGTGTAGGGGACACAACACAGCACTTACCTCGTATTTCTGCTGCTTGAACTTCTCCTGCAGGTCAAACTTCTCCGCCTCCAGGTTATAGATGCTCTGCCACAGTTCCTTGGCCTTCTCCCTGCATGGGCCACAAAGGGAATGAGGTGAGGACGGGGCCCTTCTTTGTCAGCCATCACTCTGGGCCTCACTCAGCCCCCAGTGGTCCCAAGCCCTCTCTCCCGCATTCAGGCCTGTGGACAGTGTCCATAACCACACTATAGGCTTGGCCAGCCTGAGTCCCAAATGGTACCCAGGGGCTGCCAGGGCAGAGTCCCTGACAGGGAGGAGGAGGAGGAAGAAGAGATCCCATAGCCTGGCAGAGTCTCTAATTCAATCTCTTGCCCACCTCCTGCAGGCATGTGGGAGAACTGAAGCTCAGACAAATGAGAGGCCTGCTTAATTCTCTTGGCCTACCAAGAAGCCCAGTCAAGGGGCTGCTCACCACACCACCAGCTCCAGTCCCAGGAACCTGTCTTGGGAAATGTGTGGTGGCCAGCGCCCTCTGGTGGCTCATGGCAAATAGTACTCTCCCCCCTGCTGTGGGTCAAACAGCACTGCCTGAGATGAGTGAGCAGCCCCAAAAGAGCCCTACCTCAGCTGATCTTCATTCAGGTGGTCGATAGCCAACACCTTCCTCCTCTCAGCCAGAATCTTCTTCTTCTTTTCCCGCTCGGTCTGCCTCTTCCCACTCTTCCGTTCTGTCTGAGCAGGGTGGCGAGCAGGAAGACTTGATTAGAGGCTGTCCCCCCTATCCTTACCCTCCTCACCCCTGGGGAAGTGGGGCGAGGCCTGCAGAGGACCAAGTTCTTATTCTCTTGTTCCTGTAACACCCCCACACCATCACCTGCCTGGATCCTCCAGAGAAACTGAGGCAGGAGCAAGGGGGGTCATTAGGTCCCTCCTCCTATACCTACTCAAATTGGTCTGCCATGATCCAGCTCCCTCCCCCCCCCACCCCTCCCACCCCAGGCCAACCCCTGCTCTCCTCCCCAAGCAAGGGACTGTCCCTTCCCAGAATTAAGGGGTAGAAAGGGTTTAAGGTCTCAGTACCCACCTGGGCTTGCTAAACCAGGAAACCATGAGAGAAAGACTCAGAGAGAAAGATCGAGACCGGAACAGAAACACAGAGAGAAGGCAGGGCGGAGGACAAAGACAGAGAGACAGGAAGGAGAAAGTGGTTCAGCTGGTCTACATAGGCTGCCTGGTGTAGGGCCCTGAGTCTGGGGTCAGGGTGAGGACAAGGTTGAAAGCTTTTCAGTGGTATGGTCACTGAGGGGACCAAAGCCTGGTGGTAGAGCTAGGAACTTTGGAAATATTGATTCCTTCATGCATAAAGACAACCGATTTTAAGTCTCAAGCATGGCAGTGCATGCTAATAGTCTCAGCAACCCAGGAGGATCTTAATTCTGAGGCCAAACTTAGCAATACTCTGCCTCAAAAACAAAATCAAAATGAAAGGGCCAGGTAGCTCGGGTTGTAGCATGCCCACCTACTAAGTAGGAGGCCTTGAGTTCAATCCTCAATATCAAAAATAAATATCAACCTTATATCCCCTCCTGTTTGAGAAGAGGGCTCTAGAACACATAGTGTATGGCCAGGAGCAAACCTTGCATCTGTGTAACGCTCATCTGACCTTCACAAAGGTCGCAGGCAGGCAACATTATGTTCATGGGAGGAAACTGAGGCTCAGAGGCTGCATCCGGCCACACATCTGGATGTGGCAGTGCTCTGACACCAGGCGCAGGGCTCTCCCAGCTGTGCCCAGACACTGGGGGGCTCTGAGAGTGCTCTGAGGTAGGCGAGGAGGCACACGGGGCAGGGCCCTCTTAGTGAAGCCACAGTGGGCTGAGAGCCAGCTCATGGGCTGGGCAGAAGAGGAGGCCTTGGCTCCCACCCACAACTGCAGGGAATTTCTTCCTGTGACCCACAGTCCCTCAGGTTCCCAGGGCTGCTGCTCCGCCTACCTTCTGGATGTATCCTCCAAAATGCATCATGTTAGACAAAGCCTTCTTCTTCCGGGCCTCATCCTCAGCCTTCCTCCTGTTCTCCTCCTCCTCTCGCCTGGCCCTCTCTTCCTGATTTCCAGGGGAGTTGGTGTGTGTGTGGGGGGGGGGGGTGGAGAGCAAGAGAGAAAAAGTAGAAAATCCTGATTCTAGGCTGCAGGTCATTACAGGTAAGATCAACTTTCTCCTCAGTGGACAGGGGTTTTCTGAGGGTACCCTAACAGAGGACAGGCAAGCAGGAGTTGAATGAATGAAAAAGGAATGAATGAATTGGGTCCTGGATGAATGAGAAAGGAATGATGTCCTGTCCTGTTTACTGGTTCTTGTCAGAGCCAGACCTTGGTGCATGCTTGCATGGTGCACATGCATGCTGTCTTTTAGCTGACTTGATGTGCAGACAGAGGGGCCCTGGGCTGCAGGAGCAGGGAGCATGCCGGGAGGGGGGGGGCGGTCCCGGCAGGCCGGGCAGGTGTCACTCACAGCCAGACGGTTCTGTCGCTCTTTCTCACGCTCATTGCGGATGCGCTGCTGCTCTGCACGCTCAGCCCGCCGCTTCTCCTAGGAAGAGAGGCAGAGGTCTGGGTATGCCCAGGAAGGGGTGGACCTCAGTGTGGCTAGGAAGTGAGGGGGGGGGTCATCTGAGAGCCAGGGGACACAGGTGCCCTTCTTCCTGGGCTTCCATTCTCAGCCAGCTCCACAGATGTAGGCAGGGGCCAGTGCCACAGTAGAGTCACGTGGCAAACTGTAGATCGTTCTCTGCTGTCCCTGGTGAGGGCGACTCTCCACCCTGGCACCCAATGTGCAAAGGCAGCTGGCAGACTCACAGGCTGTCAGCCAGAGCTCACACCAGGAGAAAAGGGAGTTGGGTGTAGAGGAAACAAAGGGAACCGTGAGCTCTGCACCCCCAGGGGAATAGCCCTGGATTCTGCATGACCGTGCAGCTGTGTTCCACGGCAGGAGGCAGGGACAGTTAGTCATTTCCTCAGCCAGAGCCCTGAGAAGGCATCAAGTGCCTCAGCATCTGCCCTCCAGAGCATCAGACAGGCAGGAACACGGGCAAGGACCTGGGGATGGCAAGCTTCAGGAGACGCCGCATCCAGCAGGTGAGCTACTGAGCCAGGGTGGAGAAGAAGTGGACCTAATGCAAGGGAGGGGTGGACAGGGACTTCAGGGAGCACCATCAGTGGGTGACCGGACACTCACGATTCTGTCCTTGAGAGAAATGAGCTCCTCTTCCTCCTTCTTCCTGTTCTCAAAGTGAGCTTCGATCAGCGTCTGCAGCTCGTTCAGGTCCTTCTCCATGCGCTTCCGGTGGATGTCCTATGGGGGAGGGGGGGGAGGATCCTGGGCCTGAGAAGCTGCCAACCCCCCTCCACAATCCCCTGGAAGAAGTGAGCAAGAGACCCTCTACCCAATGCAAAAGGTGCTGATCCCAGGCAGTGTCCAAGGGCTCACACATAGTCCCCATAGGCTAAGTGCCATCTAGCCTGTGAACCCCCCAGCCTACAAAGTCCCCAAATCCGCTGTGTGACCACCCCAGCCCCTGCTTGCTCTGATCCCAGCCAGACTCACATCAAAGTCCACTCTCTCCCCATCGGGGATCTTGGGTGGTATCAAGTTGGGCATGAACAACCTGTGGGGAGAGGAATAAGGAGTTGAGGAACAGTGACCCCACTGGGGGCCTGGGGGGAGGCAAGGTTTTCTTCTTCCCCCTCCTCCCAGACTTCTGCCTCGCCACCAGTCACTGAATGATGCTGGCCACAATGGCTCAGACGTTGGGAAGCACAAAGCTCTTTCGTGGGATTTCATTTTGGCCTCATGCTAAATACGCTTATGAAGCAGGTAGTGTTGATGAACCTCGGGAAGGCTGACCGCAAGCTAGGATGGGGCCCTGGTCCTTGTGTCCTCGTCTCCCCCCAGGTCTGGGTGAGGATGAGCGTGGAGCGGCAGGAGAATCCCATTGCTGGGAAAGATTCCTCTGAACAAATGAACAGAACCCCGGACTGGCAAGGGCAGGCTGGGCTCACATGGGCCCACAGAAGTGGGAGGAGGCGCCATCTGCTGGTAGGAGGGAATTTCCTGTCCCCCAAGCCCCCACCCCCCAACTCCCACTGCCTCCCAAGTATGCCGGTCATAGCTTACTTGCTCTGCCCCTTTACAACTTTCTGAAGCCACCATACCTAGGCCAACATAGTTTCAGTACTTGATTTCCCAAAAGTAATTTGGCTATCTTCCCCCAGGTTCTACCTCACCCATGGAGGAAGGTGTTCTCTTTGTGCGTGTGTGTGTGTGTGTGTGTGTGTGTGTGTGTGCGCGCGCACACACAACAGTCCTGGAGCTTGAACTCAGGGCCTTGCATTCGTGTGGCATTTTCTCTCAAGGATGGTATGCTGCCATTGAGCCACACCTGCAATCTGGCTTTTTGATGGTTAGAGCTAAGAGTTGCAGATGTTTCTGCCCTGGCTGGCTTCCAACTGGGATCCTCAGAACTCAGTCTCCTGAGTAGCTAGGATTACAGATGTGAGCCACCAGTGGTCAGCTTTGGAGGATGGTATTCTAAGCACCCCAAGGGATAGAACGTCTGTTTAAGGTCATCCCTTTTCTATAGGTGCACATAACCCCATTAGTGCCCAGGCACATGGCGGGCAGTGGAATGCACGCTCCTCTCCTGTCTTCACTGTCCTCCATCGGACCTCCTCGTCCAGGGCTCGCTCTCAGTGCATTCCACTCACCTGGGCTTGGGTTTGGACTCCTCCACTGGACCATCTGGAGGAGAGAGAATCACAGCCACAGGGTCAAGAGGCCAGATCTGGCCAAGACTCCACCCCCAATGGCTGGGCACCTTTCCGGTTTGGGGGCAGGAGGATCCCAAATTCCAGAAGGATCCACAAGCATGAAGCCGTCCCCAGAGGGAGGTCTCCGTGGGTCTCACACATGCTCAGCACGGCACGCCAAAGCCGTTGTGCCAAAGCGCGAGGCAGCTTGCTTCCCACACTTCACAGTAGGGAGGTGGCCTGTGGAAAGTTCTCCAGGGGTCCTGCACCTGGCACCTCTTCCATTTGCCCCCACTAACTTTTCACCTGGGCACCAGCAGCCCCCAGATGAAAGTGACTTGAGAACCCCCCTGGCCCACACAGAACGGGGACCAGATTCCGGTCCCCTTCCCTAGTGGGCAGAGCCAAGGCAGCCGCCCTGGGATGAGGAGACGCAGAGGCTTATAGTTCAGCACCCCAAACCCTGCAAGGGCCACCAAATTCTATGCTGTCCTCCCCTCTGTCCTGGAAGGAGCCCCATGGGGTCTCCCCAAAGCTGCCTGGGGGAGTCCCGCGCGCTCTGCCCAACCGGGCTCACCTTCAGCCTCTTTGGCATCCTCCTCGGGTCCATCCTCTAAACAGAGCAAATACAAGCAATAAAGATCTTGTTCTGAGCTCAGATTTCTCCCCTAGAGTTTCCCCCGGGAGGTAGGCCCTGGCCAAGTCGGGTGGGGAGGGGGCGTGATCTACACACAGGAGCCCCTGGACCTAAGACTGTGTGGTGCAAAAGAAGCAGAAGCATTCACTCAATGGCCATCCATCTATCCATCCGTGAGACAGGGGGCATGGGCACCCAGGGCGGAAGCTTCCTCGCTGCCTCTCCCTGAGCCCTTTTGCACACTCACTCCAGAGCCATACCTTCTGCCTTGGGCTCCTCTGCCTCCTCCTCCTCAGCCTCAGCCTCACCATCAACCTCCTCGTCCACTGCCTCCTCCTGCTCTGGAGAAGTCAACCAGACACTGTGAACGACCAGGCTCCACTTGGGCTAGCACCTGGGTGCTGCACCAGGGGCAGAGAGTGGACAGGGAAGGAGGGGACAGGGCCCACTGCAGCCCGGTCCACATGAATTGGGGGGCAGCTGATGTGAATGAATGACAGCAGCCGCTGAGCTCTTGGTGTACATCAGAAGTCAGCAAACTACATAGGGCCCATGACTCACTCTGACCGCACTCAGCTCCCAGACTATTTCTGCAAATAAAGTTGTATTAGTACACAGCCATACTCACTCACCTACATACTGACTGTGGCTTCCCGGGTGCCAGTTCAGGCCCACAAAGCCTAACACACAGCGTGTGCCTTTACAGAAAAGGTCTGACACCCCAGTGAACACACAGGACAGGCAAGCCCGTGGAGAGTCTTTCTGTCTCCAATCTGCCTCTCTGGGCGCCTGGAAATTCAAACTGGGTCTTTCCAATACAGAGATCTATTGTCTTCCTAGAGACTGGGGCTGAAGGGATGAGGTGTGACGGATGCTCTGGGGAATGCCAGAGACCGCCCAGGGCAGCCCCAGCAAGACGCGCTCTTGGGGGCTGGATCTGGATGAGGGCCTATCAGGCCTCTTTATTCCTGACTTAGCCCTTCTTCCCAGCCACCTCCCTGGTGATCTGACTCCGCCCGTGCTCCTGGTGAAGGTGAGGTGGGGGAAGCCATGTCCTGAGCCAGGAACTTGGCCAATCAGAGTCTCTTCCTCCATAGCTAAGAGAAACCCATGGCGTGCCTGTGTGGGGGAGATACATTGGCACCACCCAGGGGGTGGCCAGGAACGTTCTATTTTCATCTATTTGCTTGGCAGGATGCAGCCTCACCCCTTCCGGCACTTGATACAGAGATGATTTGGACAGGATGGCACCCAGACTGAGGCCTGGCCTGTCGGAAGTGTTTGGTGATGCTCACTGACAGATAGATGGACAAGTGGCGATCACTTGGCACAAGGAGGAGGCATGACTCAGGACAGAAGGGAGAGGCCAGCGAGGGGGCAAAGACGGCCTGCGTTTCCTGCTGCCTCTTCCGCCCTGCCCCGCTTTCTGAGAGCTAAAAGGTAACTCTTCTTCTTTGTGGTAAGCAAGAGGCTTACCTCATGAAAGAATCTTCCAGAAGGAATGAGTAGAGGGCCAGACAGGCTGACCCCTTGTGAGGTCCACCTTCAAGCCCCCATGTTTAGCACTTCTGCCCACTGGCTGCTTGTTTTCTCTGTACCACACCTGTACCCCAGAGAGGTGGGAACTGATTCCCCGGGCTACCCACTGCTTCTGGGGACATTGCTGTGGGGACACATTCTAAAATTAAGCTAGCGCTGTCTCTGGGCAGGAGGAAGAGGTCCAGCCCCACCTGGCCCGTCAGCATTTCCAGTCCCCCAGCTGCTCTTCAGAGGACATTGTTCCCACCCCCACACTGAGCCACCTGCCTGGGAGTGGCCAGCTCCCCAAGGAGAGTCCTTCACCAAGCCCTTGCATGTAGTCAGGAGCTACTTATTCCATGGCCCTCCTGTAACCACCCGGAGCAGGTGGGAAGATAGCCCAGCCCAGGTCCTTCCCATTGCCCAACCCAGAACTATGATCCTGACCGCCCCCCGCCCACCTGCCTAACACTCCCCACCCCAAGCCCAGAGCCCTGAGTATAGGGCAGTCGGGGAGCCAGGAAGCAAGGCAGGAAATGCTGTGTACCATCATCGTCTTCTTGCCAGTCTTCCTCTTCTTGGTTCAGGGAGTGGCAGCAGCGAAGGGGAGAAGCGAGACAGGTTAGTTTGGAGCCAATAGTCTCCGGCAGCCAGCTGTGCAGGCCTGAGCGGGGGCTTTGAGGTGCAGGACCTGAGGTTAGAACTGAGTGGCGGGTAGCGTGTCCACAGCCCATCGGTGCCTGGCCCGGGGGAGCAGCCTGCAAGCGCTGACAAAAAGCTGTGTGCCCTGCCCCGGGCCCACAGAGCCTGGGCTTCTCTCTGAGACCCCAAAAGAGCAGGAAATGAGCTACAAGCCTCTCCCATCCAACTTCTCCTGAGATAGGCGGAGGCCGCAGGAGGCTCAGTGGGGAATTATTTCGTCTCAGGGCTAAAATCATACTGTGTGCAATACCTAGGCTGGTCCCAAACCAGACAAGGTTTATTTCCCAAAGCCACTCTCCCCCCCCCCCCGCCCCCCCCGTAAAATCTGTTGTATCAAGTAGAAAATCCTCCAAAACAAAAGATATCTTCACCAGATTAAGAGTCAATGCAGGGAGCAGGGCAGAAGTTGGAGCCCGCTAGGGTTTGGAATGGAAAGGTGTTTCGGATGATTCCAATACACGTGTGGTGTGGTGGTCTTTGAAAACCGAACTAATGTTTATGGGGCCTTCTGATTTCATCTGTGTGTCTCTCTTCCACCTCAGTTTTGTCTAGATACCCCCAAAGGAGGCTTAAATAAGCAGGAGGCTCCCCCATTTTCCCTAGAAGTCCCAGAGAGCAAGAGAAGGCAGCTGCTGAGCCCCAGCTTCTGTCCTTGGACCTTCACGGAGACCTCGTGTGTGCATACCACGTGCTGAAATCATGTGTTTGAGCATCGGCAAAGCCATTGTGGGCTGGCCTTTGGTGTAGAAACCTAGAAGCCTAGGGGCCACCTGGACTGAATAAGGGCTGGAGCAAGGTCTCTCAATCATTTCCTGGGTCAAGCTCTCTGGAAAGTGAGTCCTGGCTGTTCTTCCAGTGAGATGAAACAGTCATTTATCACCATATCCACGAGCAGGGACAAGACGGCTCTTTACCAGGTAATGGTAGTAGCACTTCATGCCTTTATAAAAGGTTCCAGGCAACTGAGTACTTTTGTGTTTGTCATTGCATTTGAAAAACATATTCAATGTAATGTTCTTAGGGGAGGCTGTGGTATTTGGTTATGATTGTGTGTGTGTGTGTGTGTGTGTGTGTGTGTGTGTGTGTGTGTGTGTGTGTGTGTGTACCAATAATGGAGCTTGAAGTCAGGTCCTGGGCACTCGCTCTTGGTGTTTTTACTCTGGTGCTCTACCACTTGAGCCACAACTTTGCTTCTGGCTTTTCGCTGGTTAACTAGAGATAGGAGTCTCATGAACTTACCTGCCTGGGCTGGCTTCAAACCTCAACCCTCAGATCTCAGCCTCCTGAGTAGCTAGGATTTCAGGTACAGGAAGACGTAACATTGTTGTCTCAAGATCTGAGCAGCCAAAGTGGGGCTAACTCTCATGGTAAGGGAGTCTGCTTGGCCGAGAATTGGGCCAGGCGGAGACAGACTGATTCCCCAGGGCTCCAGGGAATTCTAGCCCACTGCAAGTCCTCCCTCCGTCCCTTCGCTGCCCAAAGCACATACCTTCCACAGCATCTTCTGCTCAGAAAAGAAGGCAGGGCAGCAGCAGCGAGAGAAGGGAGAGGAGCTGGGTCAGTTTCCAGCTCTGCCTTCCTTGTCCTCAATAAGCACACGTGCACACGCTTACCTTCCTGCTCCCTGCGTGCAAAGGAAGATGCTGTTAGTGCTGTGCACATGCTCACACGTGCACACACACCACATACACACACACACTCACACTCGGTGCCTTTCTTCAAGTGAGCCTGTTTTTTATTTCCCTCCCTCTATGGAGCTCACAGTCTTTGGCCTCCCAGCCAGCCGTCTCCTCCCGGGCTGACCTCAGCCTTCTCCCCACGTCCATCTCTCCCCCCTACCCAAGCCTGCCCCTTTCTAGAAAGCGCTTCCCAAATCTCTTCTTTCTCCAGGTGCTCTGCAGAAAAGGCATGCCTTCCCCACCCAGCAGCAACTGACCATCCCTGTGCCCCTCCCCCTCTCCTCTGAGCTCCTGCGGAGCCGCACCCCTGCACCTCACACCTGCTGGGAACTCCCTCCACAACATCCATTGGGATGTCTCAGCATCCCAACAAGACAAAGAGTGTGTGTGTGTGTGTGTGTGTGTGTGTGTGTGTTCCCTATGGACACCTCTACCAGAAGATCTCTTGGTTTGATTGCCTGAGTGTGCCCCAGCCCTGGCTTCTCTCTAGGACAGGACTTTGGATTGGCACCGCCCAGATGACCAGGATGGAATGATAACGCTGGCTCTGAGCTGGACCTGATGGACTATGCTCAGCTCTGTGGCTTTGGGAGAGTCAGGTGAGCCACTCTGATTGGTTCAGGAACCCCAGCTTCTCTGTTCCCATCACCCCTAGAGCTCAGCTCCTGTATTCCCAAGGTCCCCCACAGAAGATCTGACTGGGATCTACTGCCTGGAGGTTCAGACATGGGAGGAAGTCAGGGGCAGGGTGGGAAACCACCCCTCTGGGTCCTGGAAATAGGCCCAGTCACTTCTGCCAGGATAGCAGCTGGACTGCCCTCGGAGCAGGTGCGAGGGTCAGGCAGACAGGCCGGCGCTGGGAGCAGGGTGCTTCCAGATACTCACTCCTCGTACTCCTCCACCACCTCCTCTGCGTCAGACATGGTCCTGCGCTCCCTCCAGCAAGAGAAAAGCAAGCGTCAGTGCGGTGGAAAGGGAGGCCTGCCTTCCTCGGGGAGCATGCAGGCCCTGTGGGAGGGGGGCCAGGGAGCCTAGGGGAGACTCTCACCTTCACCCTGATTTACTGCAAAAAAAGCAGCCCGTTTCCTCCTCTGCAAATGGGCAGTGGTGACACCTGCTCACAGCAAGGCAGTCCGTGGCAGTCCCTCCTATTACCTGCCCTTGAGCAGGCAGGGCTGTAGCAGATTCGTGCTCCTATTTGGACCTCTCTAAGCATCGTGGTAAAGTTTCTCTACCTTTCCAGCCCACAGGGGTATTCAAGGAGGCAAAGCACTGACAAGTCCCGCCTCTGTCCTCACTGACATGTGCTCCCCAGGGAGACTAGTGACACCACCTGAGCCTTTCCACACCGTGGACTGCTACTCCGCAGTGAAAAGGGATGAAATATGAATAATACACAGGACAATCTGATGGGTCTCAGAAGGTCATACGCTGCTTGATTCCATTCCTATAATATTCTTGAAATGGCAGGGATGCAGAAGTTGACAGGAGCGTAGGGATAGTTAGGTGGTGTGTGAAGGGTTGGAGGGAAGAACTTTCAAGAAGCACCCTTGTGGGTTTGCAACTGCTTAGTGTCTGACTGAAGGAATGAATGTATGAAATTTTCCAGGTTAAAACTATATAGAATTTAGGAGCTGTGGGTATAACTCAAAAGGTGCAGCTTACCTAGTGAGGCCCTGGGTGCAGTCCCTTAGAATTGAACACATGGGCCAAAAAAAAAAAAAAAACAGAATAATACTATGGGTTGATTATATCAATGTCTTCATTCTGGCTGTGCTAATGTCCTGCATAGTTATGTGTTTGCAGCAAGGGGTCTTGGGCAAAGAGTATAAGCAATTTTTCTGTATTTTTTTTCTTAGTACTACATGTTAATCTATGCTTTCTCAATGAAAATCCAATGAAAAATAGTGTCTCTGGGAATTTGGTTTTCAGAGATTCCTCTCACGGTGTAGGAACAGGTTTGGATTGAAAGTCCCTGTTGTAAGTTTCTGGGCATGTTTGGAAAAGTCTTTGCACCCTTTCTGAACCTCGGCTGTCTCTGCACGGTGGAGATACAGCGCACGGAACACTTTACGGGAACCAAACTGGTATTCGTGGCAGTAGAAGGCGTCAGACACAGCCAGGCTATGCTGTGCCTGTACCATCATGGGAGAAGCTTCAAGAAGAGGTGCAAAGAGCAAGGTCTGAGTGTGAGATGAATCTGGTTTTGAATGCTGGTTTCTGGCAGCCTTTGTGTACAACCTTGAGAAAAGCCATTTCACCTCCCTCCCTCCCCATTCGGATAAAATTGCTCCTCCTTAGGGAAGAAGGTAGAGAATAGGGTTATCCCAGGGCAGAAACTCAACTTACAAAAACAAACAAACAAAACGGTTATAACTCAACCCTCTTCAGCCTGCACAGCAGGAGGGGTAGAAGTGGAAGAGAACAATCACGTTCATTGCGGTGTAAACAGCGCCCCCTGCTGGCTGCAGTACGGTGGCGCTGTGACCTTCTGGATAATCGGGTTCCCAGGGAGAGAAGGGCTCAGACTCAGCATGGTGAATGGGATCTCCCTCGAACCCTTCCCCTGTGCCAGGTCGCCTGCCTCACACTGGAGCCTGCCAGAATGAGGACCACAGGACCCAGAGCGTTCTGGCTCCCTTCTTCACAGCCTCAAAGCAGTGATTGAGACCAAGTCCAGGCACCCATCTATCCATCCCCAAGAGCCACTGCTCTGGTGTACTTCAGCGATGTCCACCCCAAGGCGACCCCGTTGAGGCTGAGAAGTTCCAGGGGAGCGGCCACTGTCCCAGCGGTCCCTCTAGACTCAGGGCCCTCTGCAGCTTGGATTGGCTTAGGGACATCATGGCTGTCCCCGGCTCCCCATGCTAGGGCATGACAGACGCATGCTACCCTTCCTCCCCCTCTTTGGGAAGGTGGAGAGGAGACCTCAAACACGTCAGGCATCACAACAGAGTTTGAGCAGTCCTCTGCTAAACAATAAAAATAATTTTAAAAAAACAAACTTCAAATGGGTCTCGGGATGAGAGTGGCCAAAGAGCCCAGGGTGCGTGAGAACCTTGTCCCAGACAAACATTACTGGCACCCTCCTGGGAGCGGCTAACCTCTGTGAGCTAAGGGTTTGGGGAGCACTCCCTGAGCCCCAGGAGGAGCGTGTGGCCTCAGGGAGGAGGGAGAAGAGCCTCGGGAATTGTGTGTGGCTGGTATTGCTCCCAGCAGCTCAGGTCCCCAGGCATAGAGCCAGGCTTGGAGCCACAGAAATGGAGCTGGGCTCGGAGGAGGAAAAAGCAACCTAAAATAGCACACAGAGCACAGGGGCTGGAGGAGGGCTCTCAGCCAAGGGGACATGGCCACGCCGCCCACCAAAGGCAGGACTTCACAGAGAAGTTCTGGGGAGGCTGAATGTGGAGGCTTCAAAATGAGAGGTCAAGAGCTGGGCAGAGTGAGGGATGGCATGTGGAGGTTCCACCCCCTCCCCCCCACACACACACATCCAGGCCCACACTTCCACGGGCTGCTTTGCAGCCTAACTCTGTCACTCAGGATATCAGCATCCATTTTCTTGGGGAACAAAGGAAAACAGAAAACAATGGAAGGTGGAAAGAAGACTGGTGTTGAGGGTCAAAAAAATCAGGGTGCAAAAGCATTGGGCTAGGTGACCTTTGGTAAGTGACCTCAAATTCTCTGGCACTTCAGTTGACTCTCTATAGTCTCTGAGCTGCTGAGAAACGCAGGCCCTGTCCCTGGGTTGTTTGTCCCTAGATCTTCCTAAACCTACAGCTGTTAGCCCAGGGCCGGGAGGGAGGCTGCCCCCCCTCCCGGGGCGGGGGGGGGGGGTGGGTGAGAGGGAGAGGCGCAGGGAACTTGATCCTCTCACATTCCTCTCTCCCTCCAGAGAAGAGCTTGAGCCCTGTGTGAGGGTCAGAGGAGGAATCCCAGAGGTCAGGTGGCTTCCTGGCTGTACTCCCAACAGAATGTGCTGGAAATTCCTCACACCCCAGGCAATCCCCTCTCCAACATCCCTTCAGAGAAGCTAGAGAATCAAACGGAATCTTTCTCTGTTCACATGGAGCCTGTGGGTGTGCTCAGGTGGGGTATGCCTGGGTCATACCTAGGGGGAATGAGCAGGGCAGCTAGACCCGCGGTTAACCCCCCAATGCCAACCAGCATGGCTGGACCCAAGAGGATGTCCAGGGGGGGAGGGTTGACCCCACAAACCTCCCCCTGTGGCTCCATCCCCAGGGAGGGGACTGGCACCTGGTCAGGGAGCCCAGTGGAAATCAGGCATCTGCTTGGAGAGGCCCCGGCCAGCCACCTGCCTGTGGACCTTTGGCCTTTCTCGGGGGGAGGGGGAGAGGGCAGGGGGGGGGGGTCCAGAACCCTGAGTTCCTGGGACACTGAGACTCACCTGCTGTCTGGGCTTTAGAAAAACCCTAACTGCAAAGGTTCAGGTAATGTTTGGCCAATAACCAAGTAAGGAGGGGGTGGCGAGACTAGGCAATTTAGGAGACCCCCTATTGGTCAGAGCTCCACTGCCTTTAAGATGGGCAGAGAGGCCCAGCAATGACTCCATAGATGAGGAAATTGAGGCCCAGGAAGAAAAGTGGCCTCCCAAAGACTTTACAGGAATACATCATCTTTAGTGGCAGACTGGAGCCTCCAACCCCCATCTGTGGCCCCTGATTATCAATGCAGTGCTCTCTACTCCCAGCCCTAGTCCTGGCCTTCTATTCCCACAGCCCCTCCTCTGAACACGGCTCTCTCTGGGAGGGCCTGTGGACTTCACCCAGCCTGGCGTCCACTCCGAGGGGACACTGGAAGATGCCAGGGAAGATGCTAGGACCCCTCTAGGTACTCCCTGCATGCTCTACCCTTCCTCAGAGCCTTGCTGGAGTCTTACCTCTGATCAGGGGCGGCCCACAAGTCCTGGATAATGGCTGGGCTCCGGCGAGGACTGACAGGGGCAGGAGATGAGGATGGCTTTAAGCAGGCATGTGGGTCGGAGCCTGAGAGCCAAGCCCTGTGGTGGGAGGAATGTGCAGCCCCAGACTGCGGGGCGGGGGGTTGGGGGGGGTAGGGAGGGGACACAATGGGGGGTGTTGGCTGCTATTTTGGCAGGTGCCAGGCACAGGGCTAAAGGGACATGTACCCCACGCCATATAAGCCCATGTGGTCCTCCAGCTGCTCAGATAAGCTATTTAAAACCGGAGCAGATACGCAGAGAACAGGCTTGTGACATAACCCAGCTGTCCCTCTTGAGAATCCTGATAAAGTAGATGGCAGCAATCCAAGCCAGAGCAGGGCTGGGGGAGGGGAGTGGGGGGAGAAACATGAGTTAGGAGGGATGTGGTAAAGAGCTTCATTGTAGCTGATATGAGCCATGTGTTCTTCCAGACAGGTGGTTGCTCCTAATGGGCCAAACAGCCTTAGGCAGAGTGAGTTTTCTCCACGACTGACCGTGGAGGCCATGTACGAGGCTCTCCTCCCGAGGAACGGACTTAAACCACCAGAGGAGGTTAGATACCAGTGAGAAGAGCCATTCCCTTTAGATGGATAGCCAAGCTATAAATGCATGGCTAACGATTAGGGCCTGCTAACTCACTGGATCATAGAGCCATCGGGGTAAGGCCAGGGCTTTTGTTTTTAGCTCTGATGCATGATAGCCATGACCCTGGCGACGGTGACTGGAACATCACAGAGCTTGGCGTATGATGAAATGGAGAAAGGATGACACCAAGGCCGCTAACAGCTGAGCTGCCTCTCCCCAACTTTCTCCTTCCATCTCCCTCCACCTCCCTGGCTCAGATGGCACTTGACTTTGAAGAAGGACAAGATGCAGCACCTCCTCCTCCCATCCCCAGGTCCTGTAACCCTGGGGGTCCTGGTCCCACCAGATCTTGCTCATTCGAGAAAAGCGATCCACTCTTCTTTCATGGACAAAGGAAGCCATCTTTGCCCGTTCTCTACCCTGCTGCTCCCCTCCCCTCCCACCTTCCCGGGGGCTCGCTCTCCCTCAGTCCCGCTGCTCTGCTCACACGCTCTCGCCCCTCCCTCGGCTGGCACTGTCCTCTGTGATTCCAAGCCTCCTCCAAGCCTGGTGGCCTCCATGCCCAGACTCCAGGCTCATCCCAGGCCACAGGAGCCTCCTCACTGCCAGGAAATGAGTAGCAGTGAATGCTGAAGCCAGGCCCCAGTGGCCAGCCACCAGGAAGAGGGCTACAAGGAAGCAGGGGGAGTTGACAGATGGAGGGAGCAGAGGGCTGACGAGGAAGAGACCAGGCTGTAGGGAGAGAAAGCAGAGCAGCCTCAGCAGTGTCTCCCATTCTAGCCCATCAGGATCTGCTTTGCCTTGTGTCCTGGCCTGGAATGTCCCAGACATTAGGAATGACTTTTCCTAGTTTCAGGGTCACTATTTCTCCTTCAGAAAGCCATGTTCTTTTTCCTAGATGCCTAAAAGAGGAATGTGGGTATCTCCCCAAGATCCCCCAGGTTCTTTGTGTCTACACACCATAGGCATGAACTTCTGACTGGGTCTCCTAAGAGAGCTCCATCCAGAGAGCCCTTAGGTGGCCACTCCATCATACACAAAAACTAGTGACTGGCCAGGTTGCTCTCACCTGCCACCCAGTCCCCAGCTGCTGCTCTTTGTCACCAGCTGCAGTCTTGTGTGTGATGTGTCTCCTAATTCATCCGTTTCCCCAACACACAGCCCGACAGGAGCATGAATGCAAAGGCAGAGCTGAGTCCAGAGTTCCCCCCAGCAAAGCAACCTGTCCTCAGTGTGCACCCCACAAGTGCCACCACATTGAGGCAACAGCCCTTCCACTGCCAGAGGAGAGCTTTCAGGAGCCTCCGTTCCTAAGGAAAGTCTGACACCATCGTTTTGATGGCTGGCCAAGTTCCACTGTCAGGCACTTCACAAAGCTCAGAGCCCAGAGCACTCTGAGCTTTTGAAGGTCACTTGCTTGAACCCTGAAGGTCAGAGAAAGGAAATGTCGCAGGCTTATACCTAAGTCCCTAGCAGACTTGGGGACCGGCACCGGGGTCTCCTGAGTCTCCAGGTGGCACAGAGCACCCCTCCATCCTGCCCAGTTTCCAATCAACCTGCAACCATAGCATTGGGCTTTTGCCAAAGCTACAACCCGGGAAGAGGGGCCAGGCAGCCCCAAGGCCCACTCCGCTGACTCAGGCCAGCAGGAGGCCAGTTTATGGGGGCTCATTGGCAGATGTGGGACAGCACAGGGCACTGGGAGGCTGACACACATGGGACCCAAAACAGGAGCCTTCACCTGGGATTGTCAAGCCTGGGTCAAGCATGGGGAACTGGAGCGTTTTGCTGCCCTTATGAGCCCTGTTCCAAGAAGCTCTGGAGCTTCTACAGCTGGGCAAGGAGGGAGCAGACAGAGTCCTTACCTGGTCCCACCCACTGTTGGTTCTGGATGAAATCTGAGCAGTCACCTGGGAGTAAGAGCTCTAACTATGAAAGAAGGCATTTTTCCCATTACATCCTCGAAACATCTGGAAGATACTAGAAGGCCTTGCTCAGTCTGGTCATCCCTGTATTTCAGATGGTTCGGTATTCCCCAAGCCCACATGGGCCATGGGGTTGAGGAAATGAGCTGGAGAGAGGCTGAAGGGAAGACGGCATGCCCCGGTACATGGCGATTCTAGCCTCCCAAGTCACCATGCACTGAGCATAAAACCCTGGCACCTTAACATTTGGGGGTGGGGGGGGTAGAAAATGATCCTTGTCCCACCCCAGCCAAAACCACCCTCCTTCCTCTCTTCAGCTGGTTCCCTTGGAAAGCAAAACCCCTAGGAAGGAATTCACTTCACTTGAAAGAATCAGCATCATTTGCGCCTGAGAAAATGAATTTTTAACAGATTCTTCCTGAGAATAGGGTTTTCTGAACAAGGGGAGGGAGGCTAAGTGACTCCATAAAAAGCCACTGAGCTCCTGGACGGACAACGCAGCAGGCCAGGGAAGGGAAGGGACACAAAGCAGGAAGACGGAGCAATGGACCAGGCCTGGCAATTCCTTCCCAATGTGGTCGGAGGGCCTTGGCAGGCTGGAACCAGGTCCCAAGGTCCACGTCTTGGTAAGGCGACATCATGGGCACACAGAGCACCAGCCAAGAGCAGATGAGACAGATGACCTTGGGAGTCCTTGAGAAATGGTCCCACCCTGACCCGGAAGGAGTTATCTTTGAGGAAGCCACCAAGACTCCCTCCAGCGACCCAGTGCCAGATCCTGGCTGCCAGTGGGACCAGGACCTGCTGTGCTTTCAACAGGACAGGAAAGTGCCAAGGCTGGGAAGGAGGTGGATGAAAGAGGTGGCTGAGTTGTCACTCATGTTCCTGGTTCTCAGGAGCCACAGCCTGAGGTCCAGAGGCAGATGGGACTGGAGGCAGTGAGAGACGAGGGTGCTGCTTCGAGAGGCAGGGGCCCAGCATCCCAGAGAGGGCCTGGACGAGAGAGGGCCGGGGTAAGAGAGGGCCGGGACGTTCTGTCTTGCAGGCTTGTCACACCTGTTGAGGTCAATTAGAACAAATGAAGTGGGTTCCTAGGCTGGAAGGAAAAGGGAATCTTTGAGAGGGAAGCATCCCTTTGTCCAAGCCTCACACCTACAGTGGGTGGAAGAACCAAATCTCCTGGTTTAAAAAAGAGGTGCTATGAACCAGGCACCAGTGGCTCATACCTGTCATCCTAGCTACTCAGGAGGCTGGGGGCTGAGGATCATGGTTCAAAGACAGCCCAAGCAGAAAAGTCTGTGAGACTCTTATCTCCAATAAACTCCTCAAAAAAACCAGAAGTGGCGCCATGGCTAAAGCGGTAGAGCGCTAGCCTTGAGCACGAAGAGGCTCAGGGACAGCTCCCAGGCCCTGAGTTTAAGCCCCAGGACCAGAAAAAAAAAATTTTTAGATAGGGGTGCTATGTCTCAACAAAGCCGGCAAGCTATCCATGTACCCAAGAGAGAATCATCACAGTCAAACATGCAGGGACTGGGGGATTCTGGGAACCTGACTATGCAATGGCAGGCCAGTGAGTGTATACACACAAGTGACTAGTGGAGGAGGTCTCTCAGTGTGCCCCATAATCCTGTGGGTCCCACCTTACTCACCTCAGCATCCAAGGAAGAATCCGATTTCTTCCCCCACTGAGTCCTCTTGGTAGCTGCCAATTCTTTCCGTACCTCCTGAAGTGGGGGCATTATGAGGGAGATCAGAAATGCTAAGGAGAAGTTTGAACCCCCAGGCTCACCCCTGCTCAGAGTGCCCTCCCTCTTCCTGGAGGGTAAAAGGACCCCGGCCTCTTCTCTGCTGCAGGCAATCTGTGGCCACCCTTCCTCTCCACCATCCCCACTTCTGAAACGACCCCCCACTTGAGGGTTGTCCCTCCTGACCGCATCATCGCACCACCATGGAGACAGGGTACCTGAGGGTCCTGCTCTCCAGACTCCTGGGTCCTGCTGATCCACAGGTTGAGCCTTGATGTCACCACCCCAGACAGCCTCAAGTTCTCCTAGAAAGAAAGGCACCATCTCAGGGTTTGGGAAGAGGAAGACTTTCTCCAAGGCCCCGGCACAGGAACAGAACCCCTTTCTCCCCTCCCCCAGCGCAGGCCATGCTCAGCTGGGACAGCGCCCTCCACAGGGAGCAATGCGCCCAGCTAGAAGGAGCCGGGCTCAGGGACACCAATGCTAAGGCCACGCTCTGCCAATGCTTATGTGTGAAAATACAGTTTCTAGCACTGCCCAGGCCGAGGCTCACATTCTGGAGACATCAGAACTCATCCGCTTAGAGAGCCCCAGGTAGGCTTTGCCCCTCACCTTCCGGCTGGAGGCTGGCTCTGCCCGGCTCTGGCCTCCTGCCAGCTCCTTCTCAAAGATGTGGCGCTTGCTGGCTACTCCTGCAGGAGTCACAAAGACCTCGGCACGGGAGGAGCCTGGTGACCTGACGGACTCTGATCGCTGGAAACAGAAACGCCAACTGCTGAGC